CTATCTATCTATCTATCTATCTATCTATCTATCTATCTATCTATCTATCTGACTTGCTCGGTCTAGTAAAGAAACATAACCGCAGCACTGACTGTAACATAGGACAGAACATTACTGTACGTTTGAAAATACTTCAGCCAAGCCATTTACTGTATAGTTCTGCACAATACAACTGGGGAAAATTCTTATTTTTCATGTGTTTGGTTAAGAACAATTATTTGATTATGAAAAACAATAAACTTTATAAGAACGAAACATACCAACTAATTTTATCAGCTGCAGCAGCACTTTTAAACCTTCATTTAACAGGTTAAAAAATATAAAACTGAAAAAGAAAATCAAGTTTTACACCCCAGATTGAGTTTCAGTGAATGCCTTTTTTAACAGCTATACATTAATGCAACAATATATGCTTTGATTTAGAACCATTTGTGCCAGAAACAAACTTGAATTACAATATAAAACAAAAACACTATTGCATGATAACTAAAGATTAATATGGAGTAAATATAATAAAATAGAACACATTTAACTTATTTGTTCACCATTTCATAATTTATCTAAAGACTGCTACCTTAATTGAGTTGAAGGCCAACAGTTATCTAAACTGATTTGTTTCCATATTTAAGGCTATTTTTACCTTAAAGTTTTAACTTTTTTAAACAAATCAAGAAACTAATCATTAAAATGTGTAAAAAAAAAAACAGAGTAAAGTGTTGAGAGCATATTTTTTCAACTATTAAAATGTACATTTAAACGGTAATGCTTTTTTAAAAAATGGTTTGGAAATACTGTATTTTTAATATTTTCTCATGATCAAGCCTGTCTAAAATGCTCCACTAGGAGGCCAACAAAAATCCTGTTCCAGGCGTGACTTCTCCAACCAGCAGGGGCGCACCTGAGCACAATCCTCTCTTAACTTATGAAGAAGAAATGATTCCTTGCTAGGATCTGCAGCATCTCTTAATATTGTCTTTCCTGCATGACTAACACTTCAAACTGAGGGCTCGAAGAGCGACGATTTTTCTATACGGCGATTTTCGCAAATTCATTTACTCTGTCTGCGTATCACGTATTTACACATCGGCTGTAGATGCACATTCACGACTACTTCCGTGTACATAGCCCGCCTTCTCGAATGTGATTGGCTTCCGCACTTCCGGGACAACGGTTAGTGGCTTGTGATTGGCTGATTATTCTTGAGCGACATGTTACAGATGTAAGGAAACATGACGAGGACTTCGGTGGTTTAAGAGTAAGTTTTCTCAGGTTTTAATTGAATTAAAAGGCAGTTTGGTGGCCAACGTTTCTTTGAAACATAACATTTATAGTTTGTGGTACATAGTAGTCAAGTAAAGTGGCAGAATGGACCAGATATGACCGCATACATAAGCGTATTCATAACATAGTTTTGTTACTAATAAGATAAGTCACCTGTCCTTTATCACAGATCAGATTGAATATTGATTTATTAGATAACAAACGATGTAGCAGACTGTATTGCATGTGCAAATGAATGTAACTGTTCTTTAACTATAATAATTTTACAAGGTCAGAGTACTTAGAACTGTACAGGCATGGAGTAAACTGGATCTGAACTATGAACTAGTTCATAGCTATTTGGCTTTTGTCCAGTAAAACTTTGCTCTTTTATTTTTTTTTGGCTTGAATCTTATTATTTTGTCCAAGTAGTTTGAATATTTTGTGCCTCCCAGTGGTGGTAAACCTACTCAGTTTACTTCAGTACTCCTGCAACAAAAAGTCGCCACATATATGGAATCTATGCAACAAAAATCCTGCTTGGTCGAGTAAATTATTAGGAATATTTTAGCTTTCTGTGTAACCTCCTATGTATTAGGCATAGTCACCATTTGAGTCTTTATAGAAAAATCAATTTGTATCTTAATAATGTTTTAGTATAGATTATTTATATAGTTTTTTTTCTAAATTGAAAATCTCAAAACTAGAAGACTTTTGGATTGTTTTTCCACTAACACCCTCAAAGCTTTTTTAAATTGAAGGAGAAAAACTAATTTTAATAATTAGAAGTTGTAAAAACAAAAATCCTATCGTAGGTGGAAAACCTATTCAGATACCGGTAATTCTAAAACTGTTTTAGTTAAGCAATCCTTATTACTTTTATTCTAAGATCATTTCAAAGGTCTTACTAATCTTTGCTCGGCATGTTTTGCGTTCTTTACATTTTGTCATATACACCGAGCAATTAGTGACATGTTGATCGCAGAAAACAAAAAAAGCGCTGCTCACATTTGTTTTATTCAGTTTAACTTTAGTAAATGGACATTTCAACCATCCGGCTTACCTTACAACAAGCGTAACATATTCATGTATTAAAAACCCCTAAAACTCAAACTTGAAAAGCAGCGATTTTATCTGGTATTTCTTTATTGTTCTCGGTTATTCTACAGGTATTGAATATATGTTTGGAGCAACTAACCGATCCCAATTAAAAACTAAGAGATTAAAAAACATGATTTATTTACTGCTACATCTTTTCCAAATGCTCAAGCACAGAGTTTAGTCTTTTTTTTTTCTATATTTAGCAAAGATCTGAACTGTATAAAATGAAAAACTGATTTAACTCTGATTATTCTCTTCAGCACAGAAAACACTGGAGCATCTATTCTTAATTAAAACAGATAATATGTATATTAATTTATAATTCATCCCATAGTTTCTTCAGTCAGTCATGAGTAACTTCATACGGTTACACTAACTGGGATAATTATCAAACTATAGTAGGATAGAGGTTTCATGTTTGTAACTTTTTAAGTATTTTAACGCAAACATTTGCAATTAAGTATGTCTTTTTATATAAATAAGCTAGATATGCCTAAAATATCCTCAATACATTTTTTATCATGGCTCTTTCTTTCATAACGCAGCAAAAGTTCTTGGGGAAACGCACAAGTTGCATTTTTTTAATCTGTTTTATAGTGAATTTGTGCTGCTGTGTATGCTCTGTGCAGCTGAAATGCACATTTTATTCACGAGCTCTTCTCTTTCCTCCTTTTCTTTCTGTCTCTGCTGTGCTCCTCCATGTCTGTTTTTCCCCAAGATGCTCCCTGGTAGGAAGCAAATAATGAAGGAGAAGAGGGCCTGAGCTTCACTGAAATACTTTGTATGCTCCATGTGGATCCATGTTGATGTGAGCGTCCTTCGTTGTCCACACGGGGACATCTTGTGGCTTTTAAAGTATCAAATTTAACACAGAGAGCAGGAAGATGTGCAAGTGTGCAGGTCATATATAGAACGTTAAAATCTTTGCTCTGTTTTCCAGCTTTTCCGTACCCGGTCTGAACAGAGCAGCAGTGCGTGTGAGGAGACTGGCAACACAACTTCGCACAGCAACAATGTCGACTAACAACCAGGACTCCGGCTCCTCCTCTGATTCTCCTACAGCAGCCATTCTCATCATCGGAGACGAGATCCTCAAGGTAATCTGAGTGACATTTCAGCTTCATCTGACTGACAGTGAAACCCTTTGGAAAAGTTTTTATTTTTTTTTACTTCCATTTGATATTACAAACATGTACTCGATCAGCTGCACGTCTCGGCTGTTTAGGCTTCTTTCAAGTGTTCGAGTCACTTCTTGTAACCGCAGGAAAACCTTGTAACGGTTATTTGATGTGGCAGCGACGCTCTGTTTTAAAATGACAAGTTCACCATTATTCCTTGACTGGGCATGATTTAAACATGAAGGCTTTGATTCTGCCCAGTGTCACGTCTGGCACTCAAACACGTCTTCTGGAAGTCCTTGGATTTCATCAAGCGCAACGTTGGGAGTTTTTAAAAAGTCCTTGAATCTGATGTGTTGAGTTTGAAGACGCTGCAGGGAGACTGTCTGTGCGTGTCTTTCAGGGTCACACTGTGGACACCAACAGCACCTTCCTGGCCCGAGCACTTCGGAGGCTCGGTGTGTCCGTGCAGCGGATAACCGTGGTACCAGATGTACAGGAGGTGATAGCCAAAGAGGTGGTCCTCCTTTCCTCTCGGTACACCCACCTCCTAACGTCGGGGGGCGTAGGCTCCACTCATGACGACATCACCTTAGAGAGCATCGCCATGGCGTTCCGGGAGGAGATGTATCCTCATCCTGAGCTCACCAGGCTGGTTGAAGAATTCATTGGGACGACGGACAAAGACGGTCCGGCCATGAAGATGGCCAGGGTGCCTCGATCGGCAAAACTCAACTACGGAACTGACCCCCAGACTGGAAAACGCCAGCGCTACCCAATCGTAAGTGTATTCAGGGGAAAGAAGACCTTCATGAGCGGTTTGTAGCAGCGAACACGAGCAGACACTGAAGCCACTCTTTCCAAAACTGTTCAGATTGTCGACCCAAAAACACATGAGTTCTAACAATGGTATTAACTGCAAACACCGAGGCCTTTCATAGACCAGGAACAGTTTGAGGTCTGGATAATTTAAAACAAGCTCTTTAACCAGAAATTTGAACTTTTCATGGTATTCACCAAATTAAAGTATGATTATTTGTTTATTGGGGGTTGCCAGGCAGCCACCTATTATTATTATTATCCACCTGACAAGGGTTTCTTAACTTTATATCTTTCTCTTCCGTCAACTTTAATGTGTCCTGAACCGCAACGTGTACCCCCACAAATGATATATCAAAATGATTGACTTAGCACCGTGATGTGTGCCATTACTTTTATTGTCGTTTTGAGTTACCATGGTGACGTACTTTTGCAAACAAAGACGCCATTTTTCTCATTCAAAATTACTGACAGAAGTCTGGCCACCGTGCGACAGTCCCAAATCTGTTTCTCCAGAAACTTTCTAGTTTTAATTGGTAATGTGTTTGAAACAATTAAAATAAATCCTTAAATTCTCTGGACTGATCAAAAACATCAAATTTGTACCCATCGGTCACTCGTATCAGAGAGTCAGAAGAGAGTTTTACCTTTTTCTTGTCTTGAGTTCTGAATCATTTTGACAGTATGTAGTTGTCTCCTTCACTTCTTGGCTCATGTTTTCAAGCAGAACTATTTAAAAGTTGTATTTGCTGTTGTTGATTTAACAGCAAGACCGAGTTCTCTGAATGTTTTTTTTTTATTGTCATTCCCATTTTATAATTGGTACCTTTTTAAGAGTTCAGTATTTCTCTTAGTCCATTTTCACTCAATTATTGTAAAAAGGCAGAGGAACTGCCATCATTCGTCTTCAAACTAGATCTTTTTTAAATAAAAGTATTTTGTATAAATAAGTTTTCTCTATTTTGTATAAAATGGATGAAAACACACTGTTTAGTCCAAATAGATTTGTGTTCCACTAACTGCTTTAAGTTTTAAGTGACTCAAACTCCAACCACTTATTAGCAGTAAATAAAAGTATATAGGCTTACATCCTTTTATGTAAAAAAAAAATACCTACCATACTTTTACTTTACAGCGTGGTCTGAATGAGTTCCTACTCTCTAACTTGGCCGTCTTCTCACAGGTCAGCGTGCGCAACGTATATGTATTTCCTGGGACCCCGTCCTTCATGGAGATGGCCTTCACTGGACTGGAGCATCTCTTTGCTAGTTCAGGAACCACATTTTACACTCGAGAGGTACCATTTCCTGTGCCTATGCGGTTTAATGAACCTCTGTCTAAAGCCAGTGCAGCTGGGCTAACCAAACGTGGTCCTGTCAGGTGTTTGTAGACGCAGAAGAAACGGAGATCGCCACTGTGCTGACCAAACTGCAGGCCAGTTGGGGGCGAAAGGTGGCTCTCGGCTCCTACCCTGACTGGTTGAGCAATTACTGCAAAGTCAGACTGGTTCTGGACTCAGACAGCCAGGAAGAGGTGGACAGAGCTCGTGCGCAGCTGGTCGATCAGCTGCCTAAGGGTAGTGTGGTGGCTTTGGTCAAAGACCCAGTGACTCTCGCCAGTGCAGAGGTGTACAAACTGGCCAACAGCGGTGAGTATTCTCCATCAGAGGTTTGAAAACTGTCAGCCAGCACCAAAATCTTACTTTAGTTGCATTTTCTGACTGCATATAGTTGCAAACAAAATGTATGTACATTGAAGTTGTAGAGAATTTCAGTGTGACATCACGCTCCAGGATATTCAGTGAAATCTGCTGTTTTTTAAACTACATATTGTTCAGTCCATCATTCAGCTGTTCGAAATAAGCTGATTATTTCTGCTTTATTTGGATCCATAATTTCATTCTGTTGTTTAACAAATGATGACCCACTTATTGAGACAAACTGTCATTTATTACATCGTCAGACAGGAGTGGGACAAACTGCCAGACATGTTTCACTCCACATACCTTGGTGCAAATGAGTGTGTTGGAACAATTTGCGAGCTCAAACATTTGTATCTTCCACAACCATCTGCAATGACTCCCAGTAACATTTCAGGAGCCAATTTCTGAGTATTACTGGCTCCTAAATTTCAGTTTCATTCCTTTTATCAGTAAAAAAAAAAACCTCCAAATGGCTGAGCACCATTCTGTCTTCAAGCTGTCATTCTTTACTAGTCTCCTGTGCACACATGCACACAAAAATGAAGGTTTAACTTTGGTTTTCAGACTCTCCAAAACTGGAACAAACCAGATCTTTTAGTGTTAAAGCTCTTCTCCTGTTAAACCAGCTCCCAGTCTTCTTTAACTCAACTCAATAAAAACACTCAGAAACAAGTGTGGTAAAGCAGGTACACTTAAAAACTGAACTCTTTCAAAGATATTTAATTCACTCGTCTTTTGCGATAAATAAATTATGCAGAACTTAAACTGAGCTCAGACTTTAGACCCATATCTGAGTTTAGAGTGAATCATAAACAGAATATAACAGATATGAGACCACTCAATGAACTAAAAAAAAAACAAAACAGAAATACAATATAAAAAAATATCACAAATCAGTTCTTAAACATTTTATAACACATCACCTCAAAATGCCATAGCTCTCCAAATCCCAGCTATAACACCAGTCTTTACTAACACTTTACAACTGGAGAAGCTTAAATTCGTATCACATTTAATTGAACAAACTGGTTAAAGGCTGCAGTTTAACATGCGAGTGTTTCAGGTATTCATTGCTGAAAACAGCGCCCACTTTCTGTGACACAACTGAACACTGATTTGAAACCACACGAGTTAAATATCCTCACTGTTTTGCACTTTTCACAGCTCTCAGGTCCTTTAGAGACTCCACCGGAGCATCCCAAGTAGCCACCAACTAATTTATTCACCACAGTCTTCACAGGGGTTCAGAACCAGGGACTTAAAGTACACCTAATTACAACAAACCATCGTTTCACTGCAGCGTGTTTTCCACAGACACGGCGCTGGGAGAGAAAGTCAAGTCCGCTCTGAAAACAATCGAGGCTGCGCTGGATCAGTATTCAACAGAGAAAATCTGTGTCGGCTTCAACGGAGGCAAAGACTGCACAGCACTGCTCCATCTCTACTACGCTGCACTGAAACGGTAACCGGATGGAAGGCGATGAAGAATAGTTTTAACTTAGTAAATATATTTAACACCATGTGAGCACGGTGGGACATATCTCACTAAGATTTACAGTAGGTGAGGACAGGAAAAGAGCTGGTTGAGTGAAAACCTTGAACAGAGCTGGCTGTTCTCTGACTTTCATGTCTGCATTTGACAGATTGTCTTATCTAATCTCTTGCTGTCTCATCCGTTTTTTATCTTTAATGCCCAATTTCTCTCTTCCTGCCACTCAGGCTCTATCCAGACGGGAAAGACAAGGTTAAAGCTCTGTATATCCGTAATGTCTCTCCTTTTCCCGAAATGGAGAGATTCCTTCAAGACACGACAAAGAAGTGAGTCATCACTTTCTTCTAACCTTAAGAAAATCACATACTTGTTTTGTTCATCTCGGATATTCTCCAACACCTTTCCAGGTAAGTTAGGCGAGTTAGAAAAAGTGTCTTAACTTTGTTTTTTGTAACGTTGTCCTAATTTTTGTCCAATAGGTATAACTTGGAGTTGATCTACGTGGAGGGCAGCATTCGCCAAGCGCTGAACGAGTTGCAGGAAAAGAGACCGGGGCTGAAAGCCGTCCTGATGGGAACCAGAAGAAGCGACCCTTACTCTCACACGCTCACACCCATGTGTCCCACTGATCCCGGCTGGCCCGAATACATGAGAGTCAACCCACTTCTGGTAAGACCGACACACCGTCACATACATGTCCTGTCATGTTACCTGTATTAGCAGTGTTTATGTCATCTATATTTGTATCTTCACCCAACAAAAGTATTCCAGCTGTGGTGTTTTTCACCACTTGTCTTGTTTGTAAGAGCACAGACAGACTTGTATGATCGTAGAATAAGTAAAAAATAATGCTAGTTGGTCTTTTCTGTTTCCTGAAGATGTTTTTCCTCTCAGTTTAGAAATGAGAAAGAGAAGTAAAACATCAAAAACCAAAAAGGAATTCTTGTTACCTTCAGTTCAACTTGCTAGCTCTGAAAGACTGAGACTCAACACAGGAAATGTTTTAATAGCATTCCTGTGTTTCTATAAGAATGGTGTGTATATTTTGCTGCAGGAAGAACTTTTTTGTTGTTGCTTTTTTTAACTCACGATAGAATCTCGTTTTTTTTTTTTTTTTTTACTGTTTTGGCTGTTAAAATTACATTTAGGGGTGCTTATTAATGAGACCATTTGCCACATTTCGAAATTTGTCAAAGCTGATGCAGACTGGTGAAGGTATAACGATTTTACAGAAATTCCTGCAAACCATTTGCTGTTTCATCAGAATTTGAATGTTTCTGAATGCAGACGTGTCACTTTGCATCGCTGTCTACCGTTTTTTTTTTATTGTGCAGCTCGATGAACCTACAGCAGAGCTTTATTTTGAAAGGGTTTGTCCACACCTTTCATCTCAAACACGCACAGCGATCCTGTACAACATGTTCTTTTTCTAATTGTTCTACAGTAAAGTAGAGCCTTGGAAATCTGTGGCATCCTGGGCACTTGTGCATGTATTGTAGTCCCTCGTTTATTGCGGGTCTCGGCCACGCCCACTTCTCCACTGCAGAGCGGAGATCATGACATGCTGTGGGATGGAACTTCTCCCTGAACATGTGGGGTGCACACAGGTGCAGCAGGTGCTAAATAATTTAAAAATATTTATTTTAAATAAAAAATCCATACCGATGTATGGTTTATCCATCACTTAGCCAGTTGTGCGTCATGTCCAATCTTACTTTGAAAAACTGCGAAAGAGCGATTCTGCGAAAGTAGTGAAAGTAGTGAGGGACCACTGTATACATATGCATGTACATGTATACATGTACAGGTATATGTATGCTTAGATGTGTATATAAATTACATTGCCATAAGTATTTGCTCACCCATCTAAATTATTGGAATCATATGTTCCAATCACTTCCATGGCCACAGGTGTACAAAATGAAGCACCTAGGCATGCAGACTGTTTGTACAAACATTTGTGAAAGAATAGGTCGCTCTCAGGAGCTCCGTGAATTCCAGCGAGGAACTGATGGGATGCCACCTATGCAACAAATCCAGTCGTGAAATTTCCTCACTCCTAAATATTCCACAGTCAACTGTCAGCTGTATTATAAGAAAATAGAAGTGTTTGGGAACGACAGCAACTCAGCCACAAAGTGGTAGGCCATGTAAACTGATGGAGCAGGGTCAGGGGATGCTGAAGCGCATAGAGCAAAGAGATCACCACCTTTCTGCAAAGTCAAACACTACAAATCTCCAAACTTCACGTGGCCTTCAGATCAGCTCAAGAACAGTGCGCAGAGATCTTCATGGAATGGATTTCCATGATCGAGCAGCTGCATCCAAGCCATACATCACCAAGTGCAATGCAAAGTGTCGGATGCAGTGGTGTAAAGCACAACGCCACTGGACTCTAGAGCAGTGAACGCGCATTCTCTGGAGTGACGAATCACGCTTCTCCATCTGGCAATCTGATGGACGAGTCTGGGTTTGGCGGTTGCCAGGAGAACGGTACTTGTCTGACTGCATTGTACCAAGTGTAAAGTTTGGTGGAGGGGAGATTAAGGTGTGGGGTTGTTTTTCAGGAGCTGGGCTTGGCCGCTTAGTTCCAATGAAATGAACTCTGACTGCTTCAGCATACCAAGACATTTTGGACAATTCCATGCTCCCAACTTTGTGGGAAAAGTTTTGAGCTGGCCCTTTCCTCTTTCAACATGACTGTGCACCAGTGCACAAAGCAAGGTCCATAAAGACATGGATGGCAGAATCTGGTGTGGATTAACTTGACTAGCCTGCACAGAGTCCTGACCTCACCCCAATAGAACACCTTTGGGATGACTTAGAGCAGAGACTGAGCCAGGCCTTCTTATCCAACATCAGTATGTGACCTCACAAATGCGCTTCTGGAAGAATGGTCAAAAATCCCCATAAACACACTCTTAAACCTAAACCTTGTGGGCAGCCTTCCCAGAAGAGTTGAAGCTGTTCTAGCTGCAAAGGGTGGACCAACGTCATATTGAACCATATGGATTAGGAATGGGATGTCACTTAAGCTCAAGCTTAAGGTGAGCAAATACATTTGGCAATGTAGTATATGTATACATATGTATAGGCCAATCATGAATGTAGTACTCCCTACCACTTGTGCATATTGTCTTTTTCCAAATTTGTGTATTCTGCTTCTTTTTTGATTATTTCATGTGTTTTTTTTTTCCTGTCTAATTAGAACATGCTACTGGATGGCTCTACCCCCTGGGGACTACCTACCTACATACCTACCCACCCACCCACCCACCTACCTACTCACCCTTTTTTAAACAATATTGTTCTTGAAGGTGTTGGAACCTTTGAGATGCTTCACAGAGAATGATTTCCCACAGAATAAACTACGCTGTAAGGTTCAAACCAGTTTAATGTTTTTCACTCCACAGGACTGGACGTATCACGACATCTGGTCATTCCTGAGGACGTTACATGTACCCTACTGCATCCTCTACGATAAAGGGTACAGTCATCTTCCATCCGTTTTACATTCTAGCATGAATGCCAGTTCTGAAGTGTAGACTTTTCATCTCTGCTGCACCTACAGCTACACTTCGCTCGGCAGCATGGACAACACCTGCCGGAACAAGGCCCTCCAGGTGGTGGATGAGAAGGGCGTGAAGCGATACAAGCCAGCCTACCTTTTAGAGAATGAAGAAGAAGAGCGTAACTCCCGCGCCTGATGAAAACAAAAAGTCTGTGCTATTGTTCGTAGAGACGTTTTTTTTTAGATGTCTGCTTATAGCAAGTGGAGGTTTTTATGTTGTGAGAGTTTACAAAATTTAGAATGTCTGATAGCAAAATGAAACTAAATAAAAGTGCACGTAAAAACGTTTGTACATGTATTGACTCTGCTGTTAATTAAAACCTCAATATTCATGTATGTTTGATTATTGCCGTGCAGTTTTAAAGCAATAGTTCAGATTTATTTAAGTGAGGTTCTATGGAAAGTATGAACAATACCTGATGTAAATTTCTCTTCCATTGGTCTCAGTTTGGATAAATGTTCAAAATGTGCACTTGTTTGCACTACATTATGGTCCCTTCATAGTAGACCAAGTAGAAGATGGGGATAGTCCAGTGTTTTTGCATTTTAAACACTAAATGCAACTGAACTCCATAAATAAGTAATGAGACTTCACATTACATGTTACACAAATATATAACCTGTATTAGTGATCACCTGTTACACTGTGTTCTAGCTACTTGCACAAGCGTGGTCTGCAGCTTTACCGACATCAGGTTTTACTATACTTAAATTTATCAATTAAAGTTACCCCAAATAGCTATTAAATATTTAGGAACAAAATAACATCATACATTTTTGTGTGTATAAATTATTATAAGCGAGTTGCAAAGCATTGCGATAGCTGAAATGGGGCTTGTTTTTACGTTGTTCGTTTTAACGTGTAAATTTAAAATATTTAAATGAAGCTTAAGTCGACCCTTTTCTAATAATTTCTCAAGTTCTTAAGCCCATGTAGAGGAGATGAGACACTTTACATTAGAGACAACGTTTCCAACATGTCAGAAATATTAGTTGTAAATTAGCAACTGAGCTACATCCATTGGAAATTCCTTAACTTTCTTATTGTTAAAGTTTACCAAGTGCCTTTTTTTTTTTCTTTTTTTTTTTTTTACAAACAGCATAAATAAATTTCTGAAATTCTATTTTGGCTTTTTATTTCAGTGTACCACCCCAGGATTGTCGGTGGCCCCCACATGGCCACCCCAATAACAAATTTCTAGAAGCGCCACTGTTCAAGAACCCCACTTTTCTTGAAAATCTATCCGTTTAAGAAAAAAAAGTGTTGTAAGCTCAATCATCCAGGTAGATCACAGCAAAAAAGGTTAAATCGTGTCATCTGGACCAGTTTTCTCCACATACAGTCTGCAGGACCTTTGCTTTGTTCCGTTTATTGAACCATTTGTTTTGTTTCTGGGTCAAATAATCCACTCGAAGAGAAACAGCTGCTGACAGTTTTATTCAGAAATCATGTGAAAATTTTTTTTTTTTTGTCGGGGTTTGTAAAATCTGAGCAGCAGCTGAAGGTCACCCAGCATCATCAGCATCATGGCTTCATGTAGTTCTCCTCGAGGGCCTCACGGGTGTGTTGTTCTCACGTTTTCCATTTCGCATCCGTGATTACAATAAATTACTTTCTCTGTTTCCAGACATGATTGAATCCAGGCTCATCGATCCGAGCTTCCCTCCTCCACCTCCTCCTCCCAGGCCCGGAGAGAGATTAGTCAACGCCGTGCAGCGACGATCGATATCGGCCGATCTAATAAAGCGGGTCGCTTACGAGGCCACCGCGGGGCTGCACGCGCTGTTACACCAGCAATTACCACTTCTAGGTCGCCCCCCATCATCCACCAGCATCACACACACACACCCTACCTACCCTCTCCTCTGCCCTGCCTTCTTCACGGGTTCTCTTGATTTATTAATAATAACTGTAATAAAAGAGGCAATAAACGGGGCCTTTAATCTACAGCAGAAATGTAATGAAGGGTGTGTTTTGGAGGGGCGACAAACACACCGGGACATTGTTTGGAATCATATTTGAAAGAAAATGATGTTTCATACAGACCTTTATAATGTCCCTCATGGCTCAAAACTAGAAATTAGAAATGATCCAAATGGGTTCATTTCTGAAGCTTCTTGTTATTTGATCACATCAAGGGTTCAAATCAAAGAGAAGTGCATGATTTCATGAATGAATCACACTCGTCAGCTTCTGTTGCACACTGGTTAAATGAATATTGTGTCTTGCAGCATTAAACTACTCGATGAGAATAACTTTTAACCTACATTTTTGTCTGTTCTTTCCTTGAAAGTGGAACTTTTTGTTCTTTTCTTTTTGATAAAAAAGGCCATCAAATTTATAAATAAAAGAAATGGAGCCATGGGGAAAACTCTTTTTCTCAGAATCAGACTTTAAATTCAGTTATAAGGGAAAAAATAATAAATCAGAATTCCGAAATAAATAAATAAAATAAATTACAGTGGCCCTAATCCTCTTCCATAGAAAAACTGCAGCTCTTTTATCAACGTGAAATTTTATACAGTATACCATGCATGTCTATGTCTACTGCTTTTGGTGTTTAAAATAATACTTTCAGTGTTTGTTTGCTTATTTTACAAATAAAAACATATATTTTTTATTTATTAGATGGCTGCCAAAGCAGATCTGCTAGAATTAGTGTAATTTATGAAAAAAATCAGCTCACCAGAGTTACATTAACAATGAATCAATCACAGCTTCAAGTGGAACATGTTAACACTCAAAATAGTGAATAAAGACCATCTAGTGTTATTTGAAGACTTTAATTTAGAAAATAATTGTTAAAAATGGCTCTTGCTGTTTTTTTTCCCCAACTAGTACCCCTGTACAAATTGGTTTTATTGACACAAACAGCCTAAGACAATTCTAGATTGAAGTCCCCTGAAATAAAAAAGTTTCTGCTTTCCATCCATCCATCCATTTTCTTTACCCGCTTATTCCATTTTGGGTCACGGGGGTCGCTGGTGCCCATGTCCAGCAATCACTGTGCGAGGGGCGGGGTACACCCTGGACGGGTCGCAAGTCCATCACAGGGCCACATAGAGACAAACGAGACAACCATTCACTTTCTCACTCACACCTAGGGACAATTTAGAGTTACCAATCAGCCTAACATGCATGTTTTTGGACTGTGGGAGGAAACCGGAGTACCCGGAGAAAACCCACGCATGCACGGAGAGAACATGCAAACTCCACCCAGAAAGGCCCCTGGACCGGGGTTTGAACCAAGGACCTGCTCGCTGAGAGGCAGCAGCGCTACCAGTTGCGCCACCGTGCTGCCCTGTTTCTGCTTTCAATATTTTAGTTTTTTTTTGGTAATTCTTAGGGCCACTGTAGTAATTTCACCAAATAGTAATGTTTTAAGCATATCTTCGGTGCTAATTTCTAGGCTTTAAATGGTTAAAATAACCAATTTATTCATGAAAAAAAAATAATTTATGCATAAAACAAATTGTTGAAACAATTTTTCCATTTTGTGTTAGTTTTTTTTAATTCAGATTTTCCTAACATTTACAAAAGAAAGCTACACATTTCTCCAGACTTATACATTTTATCCATCCATTTTTTCATCCATTTTCTTCCGCTTATCTGGGGTCGGGTCGCAGGGGTAGCAGCCTAAGTAGGGAGGCCCAGACTTCCCTCTCCCCAACCACTTGGGCCAGCTCTTCCGGGGGAATCCCGAGGCGTTCCCAGGCCAGCCGAGAAACAGTCCCTCCACCGTGTCCTGGGTCTTCCTCTGGGCCTCCTTCCGGTGGGACGTGTCCGGAACACCTCACCAGGGAGGCGTCCAGGAGGCATCCTAAACAGATGCCCAAGCCACCTCAACTGGCTCCTCTCGACGTGGAGAAGCAGCGGCTCTACTCTGAGTCCCTCCCGGATGATCGAGCTTCTCACCCTGTCTCTAAGGGAGAGCCCAGACACCCTGCGGAGAAAACTTATTTCGGCCGCTTGTTTCCGAGATCTCATTCTTTCGGTCACAACCCAAAGCTCGTGACCATAGATGAGGGTAGGAACGTAGATCGATCGGTAAATTGAGAGCTTCGCCTTTTGACTCAGCTCTCTCTTCACCACGACAGACCTGTACAGCGCCCGCTTCACTGCAGACGCTGCACCTATCCGCCTATCGATCTCGCGCTCCATTTTTCCCTCATTCGTGAACAAGACCCCAAGATACTTGAACTTCTCCACTTGGGGTAGGACCTCCTCCCTGACCCGGAGAGGGCACTCTACCCTTTTCCGGCTCAAGACCATGGCCTCGGATTTGGAGGAACTGATCTTCATCCCGGCCGTGTCGCATTCGGCTGCGAACCGCTCCAGCGAAAGCTGTAGATCACGATCTGATGAAGCCAATAAGACCACATCATTTGCAAAAAGCAGAGACACAATCCTAAGGCCACCAAAACGGATCCCCTCAACACCTTGGCTGCGCCTAGAAATTCTGTCCATAAAAGTTATGAACAGAATCGGTGACAAAGGGCAACCTTGGCGGAGTCCAACTCTCACCGGGAACAAGCCCGACTTACTGCCGGTGATGCGGACCAGGCTCTGACACTGGTCATACAGGGACCTAACAGCCCGTATCAAAGGGCCCGGTACCCCATACTCCCAGAGTACCCCCCACAGGGTCCCCTTCTCCAAGTCCACAAAGCACATGTAGACTGGTTGGGCAAACTCCCACGCATCCTCCAGGACCCTGCTGCTAACATTTTAAAAGTTATAAAATTGCCCTGCATGAAATTCTCTTCTTGAAAGCATTTTAACCATTTTCATGTGAATTAATGTTTAGTTTAGTTTTTCACAAAGGGCAGAAATATTTTTCTGACGTCTCCTTTTTCAAACAGCCTTGAATGCTTTTATGAGCAGCAGGTGAAGTTGCAACAATGACCTCACAGTTGGCAAGTGGCTATTAAAAGTGAGCTTAACTTGTGAAAACAGCTCATTTTTGAGAATGAGAAAGTTTTTAGCCATAATAAGAGTTTCAGTAAGTGGGTCAATGATTGCATATATTGTTAAATAAAACTCACCGTAATAAGCTTAGAAATTGTTTTTTTTCCCTATTGAATGTTTATACAATGTCAATGATGATACCATCTGTACTTTTTATTCCTTTCAAATTTGTAAGACTCCTTACAAATCCTACTGGATCCTTCATATTAGTCTCAA